TCCAGAATTGAGAGGCATGGAGCCGTGCTGCAAAGTATCTTGAACAAAATGGACACCGAAGAACCACTTGATTCCTTTGAAAAAGTCAGTCAAGCAACCGCTTTGGCCACTGCAACCAAAAATCAATGGAGCCGTCACAGGGGTTATCCACCAGAAGTCCTTGTGTTTGGAAAGTCAAGTAGGGTAGCCGGTTCAGTAGTTTCAGATATGCAGCTGCCTTCCCACAGTTTAGCCATTGATGATCGTCCTGAAGGTCTCCGATTTAGAGAGGAACTGGCCCTGCGAGAACGCGCACGTCGCGCCTTCACTGCCACTGACAATTGTCAGGTCCTAAGACGAGCCCTAGTCCAAAAGAGTAGGCCCAATCGGGGCAAGTATGTCCAGGGAGATCATGTCATGATGTGGCGAAAACGTGGTGAAGTTGATGGCTCTTGGATAGGTCCCCTTCGAGTTGTGTTGCAAGAAAGTACACACGTTGTGTGGATCACCATGGGCAGCAAGCTGTATCGTGTAGCTCCAGAACACCTCCGACCGCTGTCAGCAGTTGAAGAGTGGCAACATCAATCCACCATCAATGAAAATCAATCAGGTGATTCTCCAAACTTAACGTCACCAAATCAAAGCATTATCCCACCACATGGCGGAGTACAATATCACAATTTAATTCCCGCTGAAGCACCAAGTTCAACTACCACTGCCAATAATCAAGATGTGAATCAGATTCCAGTAATTCCCAATGAAGATAACCCTAACGTTTCAGTACTCCCAATAAGTGACAGCAACTCTGAACAACCTGATGGTGAACCAGTTCCCAACAACCAGGATCCCTCCGAAAATGTTGAACAGCCACCCAATCCAGTGGAAGTACCCATTCCAGATACGGATGATGAACTCTTCGTAGAAGCCGACCATGTCTTCCAAGTTGATAACAATCAATGTTGGAAACTAGAGATTCCCATTTGTGCTCAAGACATCACCCGCTGGCGTGAGGAAACGAAACCACAGGAAATGGCATTTCTTGTTTCAGCAGCAAAACGACAACGCAGTGAGGTGAAACTGTCAGATCTCACGGCTGAAGATCGCGAGCGTTTCCGGCAGGCCAAGATGAAAGAAGTGGAAAGCTGGATCAGTACCGAGACTATCACAAAAATCATGCGTAATCAGATCCCAAAAGCCAACATTCTCCGAAGCCGATGGATTTTAACCTGGAAAGAAGTTGATCCTGCCGCTGATCAACCACAACAATCCCAGAAAATGAAACCGAAGGCTAGACTTGTTGTGCTTGGTTTTGAAGATCCTGAAGTATCAGAGATTCCTCGCGATAGTCCCACAATGAATAAACTGACCCGGATGCTTCTCCTTCAGTACTGTGCCAGCCGAAAATGGGATATCCAAAGCTTCGATGTACAGACTGCATTTTTACGAGGCAGTGAGCAGAGCAATCGCGTTCTGGGCATGGAACCACCAGAAGAGATGCGACAGAAACTCAAGCTCCGTCAAGATGAAGTGGTGCAACTTCTCAAAGGTGCCTATGGGCGTGTTGACGCACCATATCTCTGGTTTGTTGAACTGAAGAAGACCCTCGAGGAGCTGGGATTCCAAGCATCACCGTTTGATCCGTGCCTGTTCCATCTGAGTGACTCCAAAACCCAAGAGACACAAGGTCTGATTGGCGTTCATGTTGATGATGGGTTGTGTTGTGGAAATGAAAATTTTCAGAGCAAGCTCAAACAACTGGAAGCCAAGTTTCCTTTTGGATCCCGTAAGATGCACAAATTTGTGTTCACAGGTTTACATGTCACGCAAGAAGCTGATTATACGATCACAGTGAACCAGTCACAGTATGTTCGGGATATTCATGCAATTTCCATCTCTCGTGATCGAAGGTGTCAACCAGACAGTGTCGTCACAGAAGAGGAACGACAAGCGTTGCGAGCTCTGATAGGGAGCTTACAGTATGCAGCTGTAAACACGCGACCTGACATATGCAGCCGACTGGGATGGCTTCAGAGCCAAATCAACAAAGCAAAAGTGTCCACGTTGGTTGAGGCAAATCGAACACTCCATGAAACAAAACAACATTCCAATGTGGCCCTTCGAATACAATCCATACCAGTTCATGATTTGCGGTTTGTTGCCTTTTCCGATGCCTCATTTGCGTCAGAGAAATGCCCTGACTCACATCAGGGAATGATGATCATGTCAGCTCATAAGTGCATTGGTGAAAATAGACGCAGTCCAAGAAAATCCAGAAGGTGGCAGTCAGCACGTTGTCAGCCGAAGCAATGGCTCTGGCAGGAGCAGTGGATATGCTTTCTTGGGTGCGCCTTTTCTGGGCATGGATATGTGATCATCGCTGTGATTGGAGACAAGCTGATAGCACTCTCCTCCGACTTCCACCAGCATTTTCAGCGTTGACCCCAGAACTACCTGAGAAACAGCCGATGCCTGAAGTTGCCAAAAGAATCCTCAATGATATTCCCAAGGAACGTTCTGATTTCATCACCACTGATTGCAAATCACTTTTTGACTTAATCAACCGTAATGCTCCCCCAACATGCACTGAATTTCGTACTCAACTTCAAGCCAAGCTGATTCGAGAACATATCCAAAACGGCATTCAGATCCGATGGGTTCCATCAGCCGCCCAAGTAGCTGATGCGTTGACAAAAGTCATGGACAACACCATGCTTAGGACATGCTTACAGCAAGGTCACTACAGTTTGCATGACGAGCATGAGATACTCAAGGCTAGATCAGATGCAAGAACCAGAATCAAATGGCTTCAAGCTCTCAGTCCCGAAAGTTCAGAGCATCGGTAGTTTGTGGAAAAGCCAAGCCGTCCATGCGCTATCCGATTGAAGTTTTGAAACACAATTAGATCTTTCGATGATGCAAGCATGGTCTCTGCCTCACAGGAGACAAATACAAGTGATGCGGTTGGCATTGTCTTCAATGCATAATTAACTGGGTATTTCTCAACTTCATGTCCGTGATTGTCTTCACCATCCTGATCACCGAAGTCGTATCTGGAATGTGCACATGATGAACAAAATTTTGATAGTACGAATGTGAAAGCCAGGCCAGTTCACATGTGCATGAGGTCAGTCCCTCACTTAACCAAGGGGTTCTTCCAGTAACCAGTTGTTGCCGCAGCCTCTGGGCTGGAGGGAGGGATTAGCTTGAGCAATAGCGCTATCAGTGATGCTTAGCGGATACAGCTGTGGCCAGCTGTGGGTGCGTTGGACTGATTGCAGGTCGTGGCTTCGCATTGGGCAAAACAGGAGTTTCTGCATTTGGACAGGGTTCCAATCTGGGTGGAAGATTAGAAGTGATCAAGCTACCAGTGTCAATCTGACAACATACACACATACACACACACATATACATATACAAATACATTTACATATACATACATATACATACACATACATACACATACACATACTCATACACATAGACATACACAGAGACATATACATACATACATACATACATACATACATACATACATACATACAAACATACATACATCCATGCACGCATGCATGCATGCATGCATGCATGCACACACACACAGACACACACATATATATATGCACAGAATGTATCAATATTGTATATACATATATATATATATGGATGTATGTACATACATGCATATCATCATACTAGTATACCGAGCGTCATGCAATATCTACAACTAAAATCGACTAAATGTAAGCACGCCTGTAAACACATGCAAAGACAAGCAAGCAATGACACGCTAGATGGCAATGTTGTTTTCCCAGCTTTCATGTCCCAAATTTGGAAGTTGTGTCATCAATTAGGTGTCATACCGTTGAATTGTTTGCATTGGGCTTCCGGGTGATACTGGCATGCAGATGAAATGAAATGATTTTGGAGTTATGTTCTGCAGAAGGCTAGGGTGAATGCTTTCATCACTGTATCCAAGCTACCTGCTCACACTCTTGTGCCCTGCTTAAATCAATGACCGGTCATCTACATGTCTATGCAGTACATACTTCCGCACCTCGGTCCACACATTGAACTCGATATGGCATCAGTTAGAGAAGCTTTGGGTTGTCCTCATTTTGCAGCACAGCTGCCTGCACAACTGGCCCATATATCCATGTATCCACCTATCACACCTATCTACCCATATCTACCCACAACGGTTAGGGCCTCACCTGTACACGCGAGAATCAACTCGTCTGTGCATGCGGGTCTTCTACTCGTCCTTGCACGCGAAGTTACTCCAGTTTACGTTTACAGGTGAATCTACGCTACTTTCCTCCGACTTTTTCAATTCTACTATGCTAGCTTCTACGCAAGTTCACTCTACTCTACTCTTGCTGTATTTATTCTCCCTGATTTTTCTTTTCTTAACCCTACTCTACTTCACTCTACTCTGTCCAGGACACTTAAGATTTTGAGCTAGTTCTCTCGCTGCCCCCAACCCCAACCCAACACCAAACCCACCCAATCCCCAACCCCACATGATCCGGGTGCAGTGCCTGTGTGTGCAAGTGAACGTGAACGTTATTGGCCACCCCAACCCGTGTGTGCAAGTGAACATGAACATTGGCACCCCACCTCAACCCCAACCCAACCCCATCCCTGTGTGTATAGATGGGTCAAAGTTGTGTGCGGATGAGTAAAAATAAGAAATGGCATAAAAACCCTGCGAGCGCAGGTGAGTCCCTTACCCCATAGATATGTGATGATACCTAAGTGACGGCTTTGGTGGTTAGTCGAAAACACCATATCTATGTAGCAAAACGAAGTAGGAACGTGTAGGCAGTAGTCATTTCATGTTGCGGCATCGGGGAACGAGGTCAGGTCCCCCAAACAGTAGGGGAACAGACAGCGAGGTAGGACCTCTAGGAGCAGGCATTGAGTACCTAATTGTCTATGTGTTATAGGCGTTTACCTATATAGTTCTACATTAATCTATGTACCCAGTTGCAAAACATGCGTTCGGTTTTTGGCAATCCAAGGCGCCGTGTCATTGAAGTGGGCGTCGCCACCATTGCCAACTGAGGCTGTCAAACTGGCCATGAGACAAGGGATTGGGAAACCTGCAGGACACCGGAGGGTAACATCATTCAATTCACAGAATGCATAGAATGCCGAGATCCGGGATCTGATGCAAGACGTCCATTGAGAATGGGCTCTGATGAAAAAATCCTGAAATGCCAGATGCAAGCATCCCCCATCCTATGGCGGCCTATGTGTTGACCCATACCCTAGCTACATGGTGCCCGAGCGGTCCCTGTCATTTCGTGCATTGCTTGTATGTCACCCAAACTAAGACAAAGCGCTCGCTATTCCCAAACATCATTCTTTTTTCCCGAATGTCCTCAAGATACTTTGTCCTTCGTGTCGGTACTCGTCATCCTCACCTTCATCTCACAACATAGGTGCAGGAGCATGGGTAAAAGCCAAACCATCGGGTACTCGAACATGAGGTGGTTTCACAAACCACCAGTAGGATCCATTCAGGAAAACAAAGAGAGGAGAAGAGTCTCAAGCCGGCACTCATATGGCTCCGGAAAAATCTCAGAGACATGTTTTTAGCTGCGTTTGCTGATCTAGACAAGTGACCCTCAGGATGAATCCAATGTTCCGCGGAAGGGACTTGGTAATGGCAAAGCGATGCGGCAAAGTCTTGATATTTCCAGTTGAAGTCTGGATGTTTTGCGGAGCTCAGGTGGAATCAAGTTTTTACATCAGGTGTTCCACCGAACACGCACCGGATCCAGCTGTCCCTTGTGGCAAAGCCACCGAAACGGTGTCCTGAGTCTGTTAAGATATCAGAAAGGAGTGGATTAATTCATGATAAACATGCATATGATTAATTAGCACATGTCATTAAATAATATTAATATCTAGTGATATGGTTAATTTAAAATACTCAACCCAGCTAAATCAGATAGATCATGATAGATGGACTGATAGACAGATGACAAAGATACACAAAGATACTAATACGGAGATAAAGAACGATTAAAGATAGGGAACCAGGTAGGTAATGCCCACATCTGATTTTCATAGCCCCCTCAAACGGCACATACTAAAACAATGCTTTTTATCGTGGTTCCAAGGTGGTTCAAGGCTACTCCCTTTCTGAGTTTGTATTTTTTTCTCCTTCTATATTGGAAAGGGACCAATATATAATAAAGAAATCGATGCATTAATAAAATCTTTAGGGTTTTTTAGATTTAGTTTCAGAATTTGTTGAGGGCTTGGCCTTGAAACTTCTCAATATAATTGACTAAAAGATCACCCCCCACAAAAAACAACAAAACACGGTTGGCGGCGTAGTTATTTGTGGGGGGGAGTTACTAATTTGGCTGTACATTAGGCAGGCAGGCAAGTAGGTAGAGGTAGGTAGGTAGGCAGGCAGGCAGGGAGGGAGGGAGGGAGGTAGGTAGGTAGGTAGGAAACTAGATAGGATAGATTTAATAGATGGGATAGATAGGACGGAGAGAAACATGCTCACATACCACCTACAGATGCTGCTCAAAATTTCGGGCCGCATCTTATCGTTAAATGGATGAGACATGTTCGGTTAGGATTTGGCGTGGTACAAGCACAGATTTGGTTTTCACTTGCACATGCGGATGTATATGCATATATATATATATATATAGATGAATAGATGCCTGGGGAATGAGGTAGATCGAATGAGGTTCCTTTTGATTTATGCCATTCATGTGCCAAGGTCAAATATCTGAGTAAGTTTCCCATCAATCCATCAATGCAGATTTATATTCTACCCACTGCATGGATTCCCATCGAACATAGATGAGCAGATAGATGTAGACTGATGAAGATCGGTTCATATCGGTTCTAGATTGAGATATGGAGGTCGAGACTGAAGATGCAGATGCAGCATGCAGGCAAGACACAGCCGAAATCCATTTCAAAGCCTGACTCAAGACCCGGGTCAATTCATGC